CAATTTTCCAAGAATAGTCTTTAGAATTCTTCCCTAGATAGCCTAATTTTCTATGAAATTTTATTAAGCCTCATCATTTTAAATACATTCATAATCTAATGACTCCCAGACTTTAACAGCATCACTGAAATATAAATTTGCAAGTCTTAATTATGTACTAGGCATCATCACTTACATTCCCTCAAATTTCACAAACCTACAACATAAAGCTGAATTGTAAATCCCAGATCTACCAAATTTAGTCATCTTCTATGACTTCCCTTCTCTGCTGATGGTGCCAACACTTACTTTGTTGCTCAGTCTAAAAGCTTTAGAACTACTCTTGATTATCTTTATCCCATATCCCAAATGCAATTCAACATCAGCAAATACTGTTAGTTTAACCTTTAAAATATATTCCATATCTCTGGAGGAAGATGCTGTAACTCACTTCCCTATTTTTCCCCTCTAAGTACTCTGAAAATTATTGAAGAGAAGAAAAAGGAAGTCAGAAATATTAAAAGAACATTAAGGAACTTATGTTTGGAGGGATGACAATTATATGACAACCTACAGTTTGTTTCTCTAAAGTATCTCAGAATCAGCACCACAGAGGCCTGCAATCCACAAGGAGCAAAGGGCATACAGTACACCTCCGTTAAATTGCAAGTTTACATCCTCAGTTATTCACGAAATTTTCCGTAGAACCTAACTCATAATTGTTTACAGAAACCCATATAATTTCACATAAACTGTGATTATCTTCTGCAACTGGTTTGTTTGTTTGACTTTTTTTTTTTTGAGGTTTTTAAGTCACCAACCTGAGAGTGTTATTCAGTTTTGCTTGGTATTGATTGGCTGCTGCCTGTAACTGTCTCCTGCAGATGTACCAGCATTCCTGCATGAAAAAAATTTGCTGAATATTAATTAGCTACAAAGAAAGATAAGCCTTCATATGTAAGTGTATGCAACTTGAGGTTATATTCACAAATGAAATAAACCAGACCCATATGTGTAAATATCGTATTGTCTCCCTAGTGTAAGAACCCATAAGAAGAAAGAAAACCTAAAAAAGTATAGCATACAGTTAAATAAAAAGAAATAGAACTTAAGGGTTAAACAATGAAGAGGAGAGAAAGGAGAAAAGATGGGGAATAAAGTAGGGGGAAAACATGGTATTATATACACAAGAAGTCTAAGGTGATTGTACTAAGAATTTCCATCAGTTTTTTGAAAATAGAAGTTAATGTGTAGACTCCTAAACTTGACTGCGTATGCTGATATCTGTGAACTAAGTAACTACCTCAAGGACGGCAATGTGTCATACAAAAACCATGTTTTAGGGGCTGGGGAGATGACTCAGTGGAATAAGTGCTTCTCTGGCAAGTGCAAGGGCCTGAGTTCAATCCCTGGTTCCACCAAAAAAAGAAAACAAAGTTTTAAATACCTGTCATTTTGATCTTCTAAATGTGTACCATTTCTAATGCCCCATCAATTATTATTATACTCTCTTTAAAATAATTTTTAGAAAAAGCTAATAAAAGAAAAAAACAAGAAAAATTTAAGATTTATTGAAAGCATGCAGTAATATTCAATCATATGTCCAATCTTGCATTTTTTTTTTTGTATTTTAGGGAAGGTTCTACAGGGTGTTCAGGGTCTCACTACTATATCAAACTTGTAGTGATCCACCTCTTTACAGTCTCCTAATTAAGAGATGGGATTACAGGCACGGACCACGACGCCCAGTCTCAACTGCCAACTCAATGCACCCCTGCTGGGCGATGCCAGCAAGGCAGGCCTGGGGATCGAACCCCCGGCCCCTATGCCTGCTTGCAAGCACTTAAATCTGCTGAGTATTTGGCTGGTCCTCTAATTTTGCTTAATTATATCTGTTAACCTGAGCAACAGATTTCTTGATAAAAAAGATAATATATCAATCATTGTTAATCAGCTATTCCTGTTTTGAAAATCTGTAACATGTGCACTGTTGTATGTTACCCTGTTTCTGTTTTTCTTTTTGTTATTTTTGCTTTGTTTTTACTCCTCAAATAAAAGTTATAATAAAAAAGAAAAATAGAAAATTATAAGTATGTAGATAAAATGTAATTGATTTCTACCATACTTTATAGAATAATACAGTTGTTCTTATAAATAGAAAATTAAATATTAGGTGATATTAAATATAACATTGCATATTACTTAAAAATAAAAATTAAAAAATATAGCCGTACTTCATGTACCTGTGTCAAGTATTCTTGATTATTTTCTTCTTAAATACCTAAGAGGCTGCCAAAATACCCTGTAAAAAACTTTATTAATACAATATTTTCTTAAATTAAGTTACATGACCTCAGATAATACAGCACATTTAGGGTTTAAACTATAAAACTGGGTGGGAGCCAGTGAAATAACTCAGCGGATTAAAGCACCAGCAAGCAGGCACAGGAGCCTAGGATTCTACCTCCAGGCCTGCAGAGCCGGCCCCGCCCCTGGGGCGCACGCAAGAAGGCTATTGAGACAGCGTGGTGGCCTGCACCTGTTTTTCTTTTTGGAGGAAGCGGGGATTAAACTCAGGCCCTTGCACTTGCCACCGAAGCGCTTATTCTACTGAACATCTCCTCGGCCCAAACACACATCCCAGTGACTATTTATTTATTTATTTATTTATTTTGCAGAACCAGGGATTGAACTCAGGCCCTTGCACTTGCCAGGGAAGCGCTTATTCCACTGAGCCATCTACCCAGTCCCAGTGACTTTAATACTTAGTTTCTTTTTTTCTTTCTTTCTTTCTTTCTTTCTTTCTTTTTTTTTTTTTTTTGCAGAACCGGGTATTGAACTCAGGCCCTTGCGCTTGTCAGGCAAACGCTTATTCTACTGAGCCATCTCCCTGGCCCTGAACTGATAGTGAGACCCTGAATACCCTCTAAACCCTTCCCTAAAATACAGAAAGAAAAATAAATAAACTATGAAAGTAGGAATTAATAGGCATTTTATTTTATCATATCCGAAATTTGAGGGTTTAGACAGCTCATTGTTATGGAATGTAATGCCAGAGAATTTCAGGGCTACACTACAGTTAAGAACAAGAAAACTGGGGCCGGAGAGATGACTCAGTAGAATAAGCGCTTCCCTGACAAGAGCAAGGGTCTGAGTTCAATCCCCCATTCCAGAAAAAAAAAGAACAAGAATACCACAAAATAAAACCTGTTTTCTTTGTTCTAAATACTGGGAAAAGAGAAATCCAACAAACCTACTGGGGATCCATCCATTCTCCATCTTGAACCTAATCCCGGTTACTCCATCTATTGGCATAGGAAGACACAGCTTCTGCTCCAACTCCAATATGAGAAAAGGTAGCTGAACAACACCAGACAGCCCAGGAAAGTGCTGTATGCCACAGCAGTTAACACCAATAGGAAATGAGCAAGATATGCAGCAGTGTTAGAAGAAGAAAATGGATCAGACTGATATGGAAATGGCTCCTAAAATGTCTCAAGGATAGTTTTATCATTGAACCTGAAATCCAAAAAGTAGGCCAGGACTTGTATTCTAAACATGAAACAGATGACTGCCTGATTTAAATAGGATCAAGAGATTTCTAAAATAACAACAAAATATCAAAGATGCAATGGAGAACTCATTCTTTATACAAAGAATTAGGAAAATTACAAATTGAATAATAGAAGATAATTAACTAAACAGCAATATCAACGTAATGTGCATCAAGGACTTTAACACCATTATCATAAACATGTTTCAACAAGTAACTAAAACTCAACGGAAACAAACAGAAAAAATAGAATATGTTAGCAAATAAATGAGTTAAGATTTTGAAAAGAATCAAATGCAAATCATAGAATTATAGAATATAGCTATTTGAGGCAGGCCAGATAGCTCAGCAGATTTTTTTTAAATTTTATTTTATTGAGAAACAAACATCAATGAGACACTTTTCAAGCTGATTAATAGGACATTTTCAATAATTAATACATTGCACATTGTTATCTTCTCAGCGGTCATCCACAGCAAAAGAAGCAGCCAGGACATCCCATCCAAACACTACTACTACAAATCCTTCCTCTCACTGAACCAAGTGAAAGCAGCCATACATCTATCCTAACTATTCTGTATTTACAAATATAAAATGGTTCTTCCTCTGTATCCCCCCTCACAAGTTCAGTCCTGTCAGAGATGGGTATTCTATTGGCATCTAAATATTATAGGTGCTTGAATTCAGCAAAACAATCCAACACAGTCCAGTAGTCCACAATAGTAAGGGCTTGTTTGCAGAAGTTGTTGAGTAGAGCCTTTTTAGCTCAGCAGATTAAAGTGCCTGCTTAGACAGATTCAGTGACCAGGGTTTGATCCTCCTGAGTGCCTTGTTGGCCCCGCCCCCAGGGGCACACTGAGACAGTGATTGAGACTGGGTGTGGTGGTGCACGCCTGTAATCTCAGGCCTTGGGAGGTTCAAAATAGGAAGATCACTATGAGTCTGATCTGTGTAGTGAGACCTTGTAGGATCCTATACTAAATAAATAAAAATTAAATAAAATATAGCTATTTTGTTAAATTATTAGATGGATTCAGTACTAGAGTAGATATGAGAATGAATGCAAACAGTGAAGTTGAAGATATGAGTAAAATTTACTCAATCTTAACAAAAAGTAAAGACAGCACAAAAATAAAAAAGAAAGAACAGACCCTAAGGAATCCATGGAGCCATGATAAAACATCTAGTATTTGTAAGTACTGGAATTCTGGAAGATAGCAAAAATGTGTTCAAAGAACAAAAAGCAACAGTGACAATGAACAGAAAACAAATAGTAAAATGGAAACTGTTGATGTCAGAATTGAAAGCTTGATATCTTCATTTCTCAAAATGGAGACATAAATTCAACAATGAATCTATAGACTAATTCCCTTCAAATGAAATCTAAAAACCAATTAAGAAGTTCTTGCACCACAGGGAAGCATGAAGCCAGCCACGTTGAAGTCAGAAGGAAATTTGTGTTACTTACTTGTCATGGTCTCTGCCAATCTCAGCACAGTGCAATCAGGAAAAATCTCCCAATTCTTGGCTTCTCCCTAGAGAAGAAAAAAGAAGACTGAAACATACATCCCACATGCAGATTTTGTGGGGAAGGAAAGAGGTGAGGAACCGAGATGTGTGTTGCTTGAATCTGAGTACTAGTGAAACAGTATGCCAAGCTGGGAACTACTGAAAATAAAGGCTAACGTTTGGGCTAGAACATACTCACTCATGTAACACATCCTTCCAGCACAGAACGGAAAAGAAAAGTGAAAACTCTCAATCCTTAGATTCTCCTTCTGAGAAGAAATGATTTTTTTTCTTTTTGGGAAAGGCTACAGGCTGTTCAGGGTCTCACCACTAGATTCGACTTGTAGTGATTCTCCTGCTTATGGTATCCCAAGTGCTAGGATTACAGGTGCACCACCACGCCCAGTCTCAATCGCAGTCTCAGCATGCCCGGGGGGCAGGGCCAGCACAGCAGGCTCAGGGGTCAAACCCGGGGCCCTTTCCCTTACTTGCAAGCGCTTTAATCCACTGAGCTATTTGGCTGGCCTGAGAAAAAATGATTTGGAGCATGAGCTCAAAATACTATCTTTCCCAGGAGATTTTGAAGAGATTATGTCTCACTTGCTGCAGAAGAGTTACAAGACTCAAAATGCTCTGAGTGCCTGAGGACTTCTGAGAAATAAAGGTCTGGGTGATGTGCTACTGCTCTTTAGGAAATGTTGAGATTTTAATATATCTCAATGGCCTCTCCATGGGGTAAGTGGAGAAAGTGTGCACTGACTGTCTAATATTCCTGCTTAAATGGAATTTCCCACAAAATTGGTTTTTGTTTCAACAGATTCAAAGCACTGATGAAACCCAGCACACTTCAAAAGATTCAGGGAGGAGTTCCAAAGTTTATGAAGTTCAACAAATAGACACCAGGGGGCAAGATAGCATGAACTGGAAAAAAAACAAACTAGCAAATCCTTCTAATCTGGAATTTACATACACAAGTATGGAGAGGCAGCCACAGGAAAGCTTTTTTAAAATTATTTTTATTTTTTTTAAATTAATTTTAATAAGAAAGAAATAGCAATGAGACAGTTTCAAAACAGGTTAGTAGGACAGTTACAATAATTAATACATTGCATATTGTTGTCTTTGTGGTAGTTATTCAGGGTACAAGATGCAGACATGATATCTTGTCTAAACACTATTAGTAACAAATTTTTCTTCTCATTGAACCACGATAAAGTAACTGCATATCTATCCTAACTATGTTGTATATACAGATAGAGATTTTTTTTACTACAAAATAGTCCGCCATTTATAGCCCCCTTTTTTGTTTAGTTTTGTCAGAGATGGGTGTTTCATTGCCATTCAAACATTGTAGGTGTGTGAATTCAGCAAAATAATCCAATATAGTCCAATAGTTCATCAGAGTAGTAGGTTATCAGCAGAACTGGCAATGTCAGAATTGTTGACTTGAGCCTTTTACAGCTCAGCACATTAATATGGCTTTACTTTTTTTACTTTTGTTTTTGTGGTACTGGGGATTGAACTCAGGACCCTGCACTTGCCAGGCAAGCACTTATTCTACTGAGCTATCACCCCGACCCGGCTTTACTTTTTATACCTTATGGGTATACTTTTCTGCTGGATGGTTAAGACCAAGTTGAAACAAGTCCTATATAACTAAAAACGCAACTTTTGTCTCTGACAAGGTCAGTCAAATCCCCTCGGGATTTACCGTGAAACCATGTACAGCAGTTTGTAGATCTTTTGACAGCGTCAGCCATTTGCATGAGTCATGGACATTGCTTGACCAATTGAAAAAAAAAGGAACTAGCAAATCCTTCTAATCTGGAGTTTACATACACAAGTCTGGAGAGGCAGCCACAGGAAAGCTTTAAAAGGCTAATGAAATCTCTAATCAGGTTGACCGATGAAACCTTTTGCTTAATGAAGGCAGTAAGATTTGGAGAAGCAACTGTTTTGTTAAACACAAAGGCATAAAAACACTGGAAGGAATAAGGAATCTTGCCCAAAATAAAGAAATAGAAAAAATCCAAAAACTGATGAAAAAAATATACAAATTATTTGATGTGGAATTAGAAGTAATGATCACAAAGATGCACAACAACGTCAGAAAATGGTGCATGAAAAAAATAAGGATATCTATAGTAGTAAAAATATTTTTGAAAAACCATAAAGCACCAACCTACAGAATACAAAAAGCAATTAACCACTAGGAAGAATGTATGCAATGTGTTAATTATTGAAAGTGTCCTACCAATTTGGTTTGAAACTGTCTCATTGCTATTTGTTTCTCAATAAAATTATGGAAAAAAAACCAAAAAGCACTTAAACTGAAAAATCACAGCTGACTTGATGAAACAGAAAAAGGCACCAGAAAACTTGGAGATATGTCACTTAGAATTATGAAAAAGAATGAAGAAAACTTAAGAAACTTCTAGGAAGCCATCAAGTAAACCAATATGCACATTACTGGTATAAAAGAAGAGTAAAGAAAGAAAAAGAACAAGAAAAGTTACTTAAAGAAATAATGGACAAGCATCCCAATTATAGGGAAGAAAATGGATGTTCAAATCTATGAAGCCCTAAGTAGGTTTGATCCACTGGACTTAAAATTGACATACAGTATAACCAAACTTTTAAATGTCAAGTACAAAGACTTTCAAAAGGAGGAAAAGTGCCTCACGTCATACAAGACAGTCTCCTAAGACTGTCATCATAAGCAATTCACGCCAGAAGAAAATGAAATGCTGAAAACAAGTGCTGAAGGAAAAATAGCTAATAAAGAGAACTATACTTAGAAAAATCTGACTTAAAGAAGAAAGATTTGCTCATGTAAATATAACTAGAAGTCTTCTGACCACTTTAGACCTGGGGTTGCCAGGTAACTGCCAGCCCTCTGTGAATCAATAATCCTGCCAGACTGGGTCTGAAGATAGAGGACCTGGATGCACTTGGAGCACAGGTACCCAGGAGGACATGTGCCCATCTGATACCACTCCCGAGTAGGGCTCCATTCTGGTGTCAAACTTTGACAACATGAGGACTGACTTTCTAATTAAAACCATTGCTAAACAGGGAAAGGCTCTGCTGTTCATAGGTGACCAAGAACAGCCAAAACAGTCCTAATCCAAGAATTTATGTCAAAGTATGATCCTGCAAGTCACATGATCAAAAGTCTGATATTTTCTTCTGCAAACACCCCTCTGATGTTTCAGGTACTGGCTTTATGATACTGCTCATGAAAGCCAAGTTTGTGATGCACCATGAAAGGCTCACAGCATAACTTTCCTCATAGGATGTGTTCAATAAATCTCATCTGAACTTCCATAGCCATAAAATATTCCTGACATTTCTCCCATTACATCTGTTATTCGCTGCCCCAGACTTTCGCATTGCTTGGATTGTGATGTATAATTATAAATTGTGGAGAAACACAAAGTGTACATAAGTTTCCAAAGTCTCAATGCTGTTTAAAATATAAGTCTGTGAAC